GCATACGATCTGAATGCCAATGAGCCAGTTTGGTATTCAAACGGCGCATGTTCAAAATAATTAGTCCCAGGTCATTCAGACGTGCGTACGTGTAGGTTTGCCCAATCACTGTGGCCCTATGCAGACCTTGCAAATGTGCTTCGCTCCCGAATAAGCTCACTTTACATGTACATCGCTGAACCTGCTCATTCTGATACATGTACCCGGTACATGTATACCATATCGTGAATATCAATGACAAAAAAAATGCCAAGTTGCCTTATGTTGAACAGAAACTGTACAACTAAGGTGGAAAGCTTGCGGTCGCACCATGCAAGGATACGATCTCTTTAGTGAGTCTGTATAGTTATGAAAGTTCTGAAACCATGAGGAACTCAACGTTTCGGACAGTATGCTCTGTCCGTCGTCAGGAGACTGAAGAGATGCCGACATAGAGTGGGGCTTATAAGCTGACTGGGAGTACTGGAGTGTGACGGATGCTACTGTGTAGTCTACTGATCCGTCACACTCCCAGTCAGCTTAGAGCCCCACTCTATGTCGGCATCTCTTCAGTCTCCTGATGACGGACAGAGCATACTGTCCGGAACGTTGAGTTCCTCACGGTTCTTTTCAGAACCATACAGACTCACTAAAGAGATTGTATCTTTGCATGGTGCTACCGCAAGCTTTCCACCTTAGTTGTCTGTCACCATGAATAGTTTGAAATGCCATCAGAAACTGTACGTGTAGGGTACTCATAAAGACCATGTTTGTGTGCAACACATTTTTCTGAAAAGGCATTGCTGGGGTATGCATGTACATGTAACGTAACTTAAAGTACATGTACATGTAGTCACATGTACATGTACAACTGACATTGGTATGCAGTGTACATGTGCAAAAACAGTAATAAATGTACATACATGTACATATGCAGCGTAAACACAAATGTTTAAAAAGTTACAAAATGCAGGATTCCACTTCTCCATTGACACTATTATCAAATGGTCAGATGAATAATTGGCTGGGGGAAAATACTGTACACGTACATGTACCACCACTAAACAAAGATCATATCTAGTCACGGTACCGGTACATGTAGTTAGGGTACCCCTAACAAGTGAATTTAACACTTTGTACATGTACAAATATGACGGTCAATTATAAAAGGTAAGTTGACATTATTTGTGTATGTATAACTTAAAATAAACACAAAACAGTTCCTGCATCAGTACATGTATTTGTGTTTACCATGTGCCTTTTGGAATAAATCTTTTGAGAGTATTTTGTTCATAAACGAGATTGTCTTCTACGGTGTACGGTACGGTACATGTACATGTAGGTGTATCAGGCACAAACTTGATCAAATATTAACTGACATGGTGGTAAATGCCCCCCCATAAGGAAAAAGTACTGGTACATACTGTACATCTACCAGTAGGCCTAATACATGTATTAATAATCACGACCGACTGCCAGTAATTCACAACATACATGTACATGTACTGTACGTTGCCAGGCATGCACGAATGGATCACCATTTTTCCATGTCAGTGGCACACAACATACTGACAAACTGTCTGGTGCCCAGTGACCGAATGTCAACCCATGCGGTGTATTGACTTATTGTAATTGACCCGATGATACGACAATAGGACTAATTAGCGAGTCTGAGCGGGGGGGGAGAGAGAAGAGGAATCAATAATGGATGCCATCAATAACACACCAGTTGCATCATCTGTGTAATTATCTCCTCAACATCTACTGCCCATGTACATGTATGATCTCAACGATAATACACTGTAATGCCATATGCATCTACCGCATCAGTAGGTGTCGGCTGTACATGTACCGGTATATGGCTGCAATATGGCATGCACTCTGCAATGCAGGCAAATGAGGCAACAGCCAATGGATGTGTGCGGGAGATGTCACTTTTGATCTGATAAATTAAAGGGAACTACCAGTATTCACGCATGGGAACAATTTGCTTTTCATTCAGACAAAACCAGGATAAATTTTCTCTTTCTATCCTGACATGAAAAACCACACATGAATAATTTTGGAAGCCTCAATAATAGCCTCAATAAAGATTAATTTTGGCTTTTAATTTTCAGACATTTATGGGTACATGGATCGGTACA